ACTTTCCATTACTGAGAGACATTGAGGAGATTGGGCAGTACAGCTGGGGTAGCGCGGCTCTGGTATGGTTGTATAGGATGCTATGTCGAGCAGCTCAGGTGGGTACGAGGGAGATTGGAGGACCACTTGTGTTGCTACAGGTCAGTAAGAATTTTATTACATGTCAATTCATATTGTATGCCATATATCAGTATTGTAATTGTGTGCAAACTATTGCAGATTTGGGCATGGGAGAGATTGATTCGCATTGCCCCGTCTAGGCGGCAATCGGTTGGTCCTGGTGAGCTTCCTATGGGTGGGGGGGACATGCAGTTGCCCACCGGACCGCGAGGTAGCCGGTGGAGGGTTAACATAGGCCACGAGGTCGCATTGCCCCGTCTAGGCGACAACTGGTTGGTCCTGGTGAGCTTCCTATAGGGGACATGCAGTTGCCCACCGGACCGCGAGGTAGCTGGTGGAGGGTTAACATGGGCCACGAGGTCGTCTCGACCCACGTAGTGGTAGTTTATAGAGACCAGCTGGACCGGATGATCGAGGGCGAGATATGAAATTTTTTGATTGCGTGTTAGTTGTCTTCTTAATTGTATATGTTTTGTGTTCACGAGCAAAATTTAATTTATTTGTCATCATTGTAGTTTATCTGGCAGCCTTACGCTGGGGTACTCGGTACGCTCCCCGACTACTGCCGACTGGGTCAGGAGATATGGATTGCGAGAGTGCCACTTATTTGTTTTGACGTGGTTGAGTGGCATCTCCCCCATCTTGTCCTCCGGCAGTTTGGTCGTGTGCAGTCCGTGCCGGATCGGTTCGACACTGAGTGGCAGTTGCACGTCACTGATAGACGTGGCTGAGCTGGCACTGACTGCCATCTATTTTATATGCCATATATACAGTTGTGGGATGCCCGCCGGGACAGTATTGTACAGGCTGACTACAGCGATGAGGTGATCCTCTCTTCCGACCCTTACATGTTGTGGTATCGGTGACATACACACCTACTAGTCGGGAATCCGAGCCACGTGTCTGAGTCTGGATATCAGGGAGTTGGGCCTTATCTTAAGGCATTGGTGAGTATCATAGTATGTGTCAGATAATTAGTAAATTCATACTTGATTTACTTTCAGTCAACTTTAATAATACGTCTGAATGTTTGTTCAGGTGGCTGGAGCTGGGAGGTCGTTTCACTTGGCTGAGGATGCCCATTTGAGACGTGATGGACAGCATGCCTTGCAGGCCATTGCAGAGATCTGGGAGTTATTGTACCAGGCATTCCAAGTTGCCCATCGGGGAGATCGTTTGCATTACAACCACTACGGTGTACACACTTCAGCAGCTGCTCCAGACACATCAGCGCCGTCCACTCTTTCTAATCCCATAATTTGCTTTTTCCATGTTTTGAGTTGGGAAAGCGAGGACTCCAAATGAATTGTGTTCTTGCTAACTCAAGTGGATGAATTTGCAGGTAACAAGCATCACTAGTAAAGAAAAATCAAAGCCCATGGAAGACTTAATATTTACACAACAATTTTTTAGAAGCTGAAACAACCATTTTTGTTTTAGGCCAAAATTCATTTTATTTTCTCGTGGTTTGAAGCTTAAGAACTTTACCGTCCTATGGTTCAAATTTTGTCAAAAAATCCTCATGTCATTTTCGACTAAAGTCTTAGCCTTGGTTTGGCTATCATTCTGGGACTAAAAAAACACAAAATGACAAAATAGACTAAATAAGCTAATAAGACAAAATATCACATCCAACCCATAATCATCACTTTTTTTTTTCTCACAAAAGTCAAAAAAATCTAAAAAACCCAAGCTAAAAAAGTCTCAACACAAAAAAATTAACTATATTAGCCAATGCCAAATGAAGCTTTAATCATTAGTTTTTCAATCCAAACTAATGGAAAGTGAAATTAACATAACAAAAGGACAATTTTACCACATCTTCTGCAAACTTAAAATTAGATTAAGATGTTAATTAAAATAAAATAAAATAAAAATATAATTGAGGATTGATCTAAATTATAATTAATTAAAATATAAAATAAAATAATCATGGATTCATCTAAAATATAATTAAATTAAAACTAGATTAAATTGTTAGGAATTACAATAAATAATTAAGAATTTATGATTAATTGTGATTTAAGTGAATTAATGTTACAAATTATAAATTAAGTGTATAATAGAAGAGAGAGAGAGAAAATAAGCGAAGTGAAAAAATAGGAAAAATTACAACAACAAAACAAAACCTCTCAAGGCTTGATATTTGTAACAAAATAAAATTTTAATTTTAAATTTTGTCTATCTAAATTCTAAAATTTTGATTTATTTTTAATTTAAACCATTTGTCTGTTTACGATGCTCCGTTTGTTTTGGTAAAAAAAATTTTCTAATGGAAAATATTTCTTATGAAAAACTTTTTCCATAAAATATTTTTTAGAGAAAATATTTTTCAATCTTTGGCGGTTAAGTCCCTGGTAACTGGTAGTGATCTGAATTGGAGATTCTAATTATAATCAAGTGTTTTTCAACCTTTCTTTTTGATGTTTATTTAAAGTTAAAACTACTACTTCTGCACTGAATTTTCACATCTTCCTTAACAATTAACTATTCTCACTAGCCGTTGAAAAATAAATAAATAAAGGTTTAAATTCCATGGGATAAGCCACTTAGCATGGTTAAAGTTCTTATGTAGGTATGGATCATGGGGAGTCTGTTATACTTATGGGACATGGTTTGGGATAAAGGGGTTGGTGTCTGGTGGAAGGACCTTCCAAAACAGTTATAGTATCAGAAAAGCATGTGATTTCTTATTATCCAAACAAGTTGATTCTGGTGGATGGGGAGAAAGCTGCCTTTCATGCCAAAACAAGGTAATCTTACCTCATATATAGCGCTATTGTTTAGGGTTTAGGGTTTAGCCTAACCATTCACTTACAAGTCTTTAATATTGTGAAAAGTTTAAACTTCTCATAATGCAAAATTTAGTTTAGTTTTTGACAAAGATTTTCAAATTCTAGTAGATTTCAATTACAAACATGAATTGCTTCCCCTCACCTTTATTTGTTGTGCGTATGAGAACAGGTTTACACAAATATAGAAGGAAACAAATCACATGTAGTAAACACTGGATGGGCTATGTTGGCTCTCATTGAAGCTGGGCAGGTGTGTCCATAGAGTTCACAAGATTAATTTGTTGAGCACATTCTATGAAAACTATAATTCACGAATTGTTAAGCACTCGTTTGTTATGTTAATTTGCAATTTCCAATTTACAATGAGCAGGCCGAGAGAGATCCAACCCCATTGCATCGTGCTGCAAAAGTATTAATTAATTCCCAAATGGAAAATGGAGATTTTCCACAACAGGTAATAATTATACTAGGTGTTTGAGGTTAATTTTCAATTTAAGGACATGATGGATTAATTTATATATTGGAATTTTTATTTTATTTTTTTTGGTGTGACAGGAAATTATGGGAGTGTTCAACAAGAATTGTATGATAAGTTATTCTGCCTACAGAAATATCTTCCCTATATGGGCCCTTGGAGAGTATCTCAATCGTCTAATATTGCTTTAAAATGAAACTTATAAATGTAAAAATTATAGTCTTTGCTGAAGTATATGTAAACAGTTGTAATAAATGTGCTGCACATATTCATATCCTTAACCTAACCATGACATGTTAATAAAAAACTCCTTTCCTTACTTGATTCATTCTCAAAATTACTTTCCAAAGTCAAATTTCTTTAAGTCAACAAAATCAAGTTTTGCTGATAAAACATGCCAGTTTTCCCTTTATTAAACTTATTGCGGGTGTGCCCGTGGGCCTAACAGTTCACCTTTGACTTGTTCACAATGTGCAATGTGAATCAGGTAAGGGTCTAGATTTGATAATAACCTACAAAATCCACTTATCTAACGAAATGCCAAATAAAGATCATATCACTATAATTGGAATTGCCACCTAATCTTTTAGGGAAAACTAGGAAACCCTAACTCCGAACAATATAGGTCATTGACTGTGCGTAACTAGAAAACTTGATATGAAAGTTTAGATATGAGAGGGGAAAGTCATTAATTGAGCAACCCCAACTCACCCAATCAAAAGATCGGCCTCTACTAATTTTTGAAGTGAGGTTCATTACCAAATACGTCCATGTTCTGATTATGAAAGCTACTTTTCTATGTGAAGTAATCAATAGGACAAATGACTCACTTTGGAATGCTTTATTCCCCCTTTCTTTGGAAAAATAAAATGTTCTGATAAGAATTTCCAAAAAAAAAATAAAGGAAGAAACTTCATTTAGAAGGGATAAAAGTGTTTCCAACTTAGGCAAAACGTCCTCTAATCAAGAAATAATCATAGAGATCTATCATGTAAACACATAACCTCATAAAAGCATGCTTTGTACGTAAAAAGTTCCAAAAAAACAAAAAACAAAAAAAACATGCGAGATGCAAAAGGGAGCGAAAACTCACATAGTACTCCTCCGCACCAAACCAAAGAGAAAGAAAAAGAATTAGAAATACAAAAATGCATAAGAACACTAATGCAAATAAACTCATAATAATGTAACTTATAGAGCTGGTTGCCACTAGAATATCATATGACGCATCTCAAGTCATGGAAATTTCCAAACACAACAATATAGCAACATCATCCAAAAATCACAATAAATCGAACCTAGAAGCATAGACTAAGTTATCAACATGTTAGAAAATGCAACAAAGAAAATAGAAAAAGAAGGTAGAGAAGAGATTATAGGCATCCCATTTTTTACCAGCCTTAATGCCCGGGCACTCCGAGGTGATCCCATAATGATGAAACGAAGATGGTCCCCAACTAGCTTCAAGCAAAGCCTTTCAAGAAGAGATAGTTCCCAACCCTGAAACCCCTTTCAGCCAAAATGTTTTCAAGCCTTTAAAAACATTTTTAAAGTGAATTTTCAAGGATTTATATGTCATTTCGATCATTTGACTTTGTTCGTCTCTGCATTTTTGCAAACCAAAATACCCATTTATTTCAAAATGAGCGAATAAGAAGTCGAATCAAACGAATGGATGGAAAACACTCAAGAAACAGGTTGGCCGCAGGTTTGCGGCTCACCCGCAAGTTTTTGAAAACCCACAGATGAGCCAACTTGCAGATCACACATGTGGGTGACAATCATACCTGTGGATAAAAGTGCAAGTGACGAAGGTCTCATGGATTGGATCGTAGGATCGGATCAAGGATCATAAAATTCTACTTTTTATTAAAAATAAGGTAAAAATACAAATCATAATGATATATATTAAAAATAAAGTGAAAAATCATATATCCAGCGATCCTACCTACGATCCCATATGATCCTACTTACAATCCTACTATAATATCGATCCTACAACAATTTGGATCGTCTTGACAATTTAGGATTGTAGGATCGTATGATCCGGATTTTGATTTTGATAACCATGCATTATGCATGAAACTGTGAATGTACAATCTTTTTAAACTTCTTAACATGCGCCCAAAGGGCACAGTAAACAAAATCCAAAATTAACAACTGAAATTTATGTAGTTCATTTAAAATTTATTTTTTTCCAACATGTTTGGCATAACTTCTTGTTGACCATGGCTTGTCCCCTGAACAAGAATCATGGATCTATCCATGTGTGTGTGTGTGTGTGTGTGTGTGAAGATCAAGAAGACACTTCTCAGGGGGATTGGGCACACTGAAGTAGACTTTCGTGCAATGCAAATCCTTCTCAAGAAGTACTATACAAACAAATATCAAAAGGGTTTTATCTTCTTCCATATAACATTCTCTATAGACTTAGTTGAAAGGCTAATAATTTCTACGCAGCAAGTTACATAAAGTCATTAACAACATTAATCAAAACTGTAGAAGTTACACCAAAAAATTGGGACTCACCTTATGTACACTACAAAATTTAACTTGTGATGGAATAGACCTCCTGCTATAAAAACAAAATTCACGCCTTCAAATTGTTTTCCTTTCCTCTAACCATGCCAGAAGACTTGAATTTAAACTTGTGCTTCCTGTATGTTTCTGATTTGACACTCTCTTTCAATTTCTCCAGAGTTGACACATTGGCAAGAACAAGCAAGTGTTGGCAAAACAGCTAATGCTAATACACACAAAACTAAAGCCACATTCAACATAGCCCACATGTATGCCCAACCAAATATAGCAACAGAAAATAAAAACTATATACAACAGGAACAAAACTAACAGTTTAATATCAAATTAGATTTGATGCAAACCTTTTTACTTAGTCAAACCTTTTTTTCCTCCCTCTATTAACTTAATAATGGTATTATGTATTCAAAAAGCTGAAAATAAAAATATTCAGAGATAGATAGAGGGAGAGACTCTATGAAAGGGGCAGATCAATCTGGAATGTCGAACTCTTTCAGTTGTGCATAATGCAAAGAATTAAAAGACAACTGAGCTAAATGATCCAAAGGCGGTTAACAACTGTGACATCCCACATGTAGGTGATTCCAGTTATGTTTAAGAATCAGGCTCTCACCCTTGGCGTCATGCTTATCACTAGAGCAGAGTTGAGATTTGTCCTTCACTCTTCAAGCAGCTCGATTCAGCACACACTAATGGGCAGGCTGACTGAGCAACTGCAATGCATTCGTTTGCTTTTGGGTTAAAGTTGTCTTAAACTGACCAGTTAAATCCAAGTCCAGTGCTTTGAGTATTTCTATTGGTTTCTCTAATAATTATTTATTCTTCTACTCCTTGTATATAATTTTTCTCATCTTATTGTGAATAAATAGTGAAGGATATAACTTACATTTAGCAACCACAGCTGTTTAGATCAAATTCTTGTTTTCTCTACTGGTCTCAAATGTCAAGAACAAGATAAAAGACTTCCTAGTTCAAAAAAAAAAGATAAAAGACTTCCAAATTGCTATAAGCAAACAATATCCAAATCAAACATGCCTGTGCAGACACTTGTAGGTGTAGCATGTGTATAACATCTAAAGGGGTTCTAAAAATTTGAGGGTCCATTTGTATAGTTATGGATTTCAAATCAAGGGATTTGAGGCTAAATGGATAGAAAAATAATGGGAAAAGACAAGTTGAGATACAAGATATATACATTTTAGTAGGATCCTTACAACTAGAAAGAGAATCCTTAGCATGATTTACAATTATTTCAAAACCATCATGATAAAGCTATTTAGCTCTATCTAGAAATTCATACACAAACTATCATATCTAAATTTGAGTTATTGTTTTGAACGATTAAGGTCAAATACCTTGATTTGAAATCCAAATCTATAAAAACGGACCCTAAAAGTAAGTCTTAGTTAACTTTAAACTACCAATTCCAATCTTTAAAAACAGTTACAGAACCTTTTAGCAGCTTTTAGTGTGGTGACTGTTTAGATCAAACAGTTACATTCTCCCGTTTCTTAGTAAGGAAAACGTAGGAACATTATATCCATTGGGTGATTGGTGTTTAAACATATCTAATTGGCACCAACTGCAGCCATAAATAAAACCTGTTCTCATGGCCTGCACTAAAAATAAGACAAAAAATTACCAGATGTGTATGTTGAGCGAAATGATTCTATGGAATCGGAAGGAACAGAATGAACAGGACAATAGTTGTTGTCAGCTTTCTGTAACAGCTTCTTGAATCGCTTAACCTGAAAGAAAAGAAAGAATTGGTGATTTCTGGCAACTTTAACCAAAGGATGAGCACAAAAAGAGTTATGTTGAGACCTATCTCAAAGCAATACCATTCCTCCTCTCATTCACATTTCTTTTTGTTGGCAAAAAACCATATTTCTAAATAGCAGCACCACACTGGGTGCCCAGTAACTCTTTTAGGAGGTCACATGCACAAAAATGTGACACAATAATTGATCTAGAGATCAGTGCCAATAAACTACTATGAAGCAATAAAAATCAAATTTAAATTGAGTTAGAAATAACTTTTCATATTTAAATTACCCCCTCCGCATCTCTAACCTTAACAACAGTGACACAGCCAGATATTTTTTCAACTGGGAAATTATGGAAGTAATATCAGCTTTTAATTATACATAATTAACAACAAAATACTTTCTTGTTATATACTTGTTAGACTTATTTATTTTGATGATTTATTTAATTATGTTTTAATTTATTTGGAAGGGAAAAATAGAATTAAAATTTATTTTGATGATTTATTTGAAAGCGAAAAATATAATCAACATTTATTTTGATGATTTTATGTTTTAATAAAATCAAAATTTATTTTGTCCCATTATTTCTCACCTAAACCTTTATCTTAAATGTTATTAGAATGTATTTAATATTTGATTAAATCAGGAGTTCAAACAGCCCAAAAATAGAGGTTCAAACAGCCCAACACAGCAGCAGTTCAAAAGGTTCAAGTGGAAGATATACAAATTTGTAATAATGGAGTACAACAGCTATAAACGGCTATAATTTTCATTATATATACCAAAACCTCTAATGTAAACAAGTTACAAAAACCTGAAAATATTCTTTGATCTATAATCACTCACATCTATTTTCAGAAATTATACACTGAGCCTTATAACTTTAAGCCCATCTTTCCTATGTGAGGTTTACAGAAAAATCAGAGCTTCATTTTTATATCTATCTTTGAGAGATAATTCTTTTAACTTTCTGTGAAATCAAAAACACATTCTTTTCAACCTTATAAGAGTGTAGTACACTCAGTGTTCTTGACCTAGAAAGTCAGTATAAAATCTGTGGAGGATTGCTCCATCTATGAAAAGGTTGCTAGCACCCTGTGAAGCTAGAGTATAATGGAAAATCTCAAGTGAAGCTAAAGGAGTGGACGTAGGCCGAGTTGAAACCGAACTACTATAAATTTATTTGCCTCTCTCCCTTATCTCTTTATTTTATTTTAAATTGCCATAGCTATATTTCAAATTTTATTGTGCTAAAATCATTAACTAACATAGTTGTTAAGACACTTGTTTTAATTATTTCTATTTTATTAATTATATTTATCTATTGTGCTAGTCATAATTTTTATTAAGGTATTATTAATTTTAATTATAAAAACCTAATTCACCCCCCTCTTCGGTTGTCTTTTGGGTAACAATTGGTATCAGAGCATAGGCTCTTGTTTTAGATTTAACCATCTAGGAGTTTCGATCCATGGCAACCTTAGCTGAAGGACAAGTCACAAATAGGCCACCATTGTTTGACGGAAACAACTATAGTCATTGGAAGGATAAGATGACCCCATACCTACAAGCCACTGATTATGCCATGTGGATTACTGTCACCAAATGTCCAAAAATTCCTACCAAATTAGTAGACAATATTAGTGTACCTAAAACTGAAGATGAATGTGATGAGAGAGATCATAAATTATTGCAAGCCAATGCGAAAGCCAAACTCACCCTTGTTTGTGGATTAAACTCTAAGGAGTATAGTAGAATTTCAAGTTGTGATTCGGTAAAAGAAATTTTGGACAAACTTGAGATAACGTATGAAGGTACAAACCAAGAGAAGGAATCTCATATTGATATGCTTGTTCATAGTTATGAATTGTTTAAAATGAACTCTGATAAATCTATTCCAAGTATGCTTACTAGATTTACTGAAATTATAAACTCTTTGAAATCTCTTAGCAAAACTTATACTAACAGTGAGTTGGTAAGAAAAATTCTTAGGTGTTTACCAAAGAATTGGAAAGCAAAGATCACAGCCATTATAGAAGCCAAAAATCTCTCTACACTTGGATTGAATGAGCTTATGAGTTTCCTTATAACTCATGAGATCACCACGAAAGGACATGAGGATGTTGAAAACAAAAACAAAAGTGGAATTGCATTCAAAGCCTCATCAAATGAAGAAAAACATGAAAACTCCAGTGGGGATGAAAGCTATGCCATGTTTAGTAGAAATCTCAAAAAACACTTCAAGAAAAACAATTATGGAGGAAGAAGACCTTTCAAGAAAGAGTACAACAAAGATAACAAGAAAGAACTTATAATTTGCTATGAGTGAAAAAATCCTGGACATATGAAGATGGATTGTCCAAAATTGAAGAATCATGGAAAAAACTACAAAAGAAACAAAAAGGCCAGGGTAGCAGCTTGGGGAGAAAGTGAAGATAAAAGCTCAAGTGATGAAATTGAAAATGAAGTAGCCAACTTATGTCTCATGGGTCTTAAAGATGAAGACTCTACTCAAGATAAAGTAACTACTCTTTATGAAGAACTTAAAAGTTCATTCCATGAACCACAAGATGAATTTAGAAAAGTTTGTGCCAAAAATAATGTGTTGAAGAAATCTGTTGCATCTTTATCTATAATGTAGAAGAATTAAAGAAAGAAAAATTGTTTCGAAAAATGATTTTGACACCATCTCTAATGAGAAAACTGCTTTACAAAACAATGTTGAAGATTTAACAAAAACACTTGGAAATTTTGTAAAACGTAGAGATAATCTTAACATGCTTCTTGGAAATCAAAGATGTGTTTTCAATAAGGCAGGCATTAGATATGACCCTATTAAAAAACAAAAGAATCACAATATAATTTTTGAAAAGGCACCTCTCATGACTCACCCTCATAGTACTTGTCATTATTGTAGAAAGAAAGGTCATTATATATCTTCTTGTCCATTCAAATATAATATAAACATGGGAATTAAAAAGATTTGGATTGTTAAGGGATCTAACAAAACTAACCAAGAAGGACCCAAGAAACTATGGGTACCAAAAACCAACACTTGATTGTCATCTTGTAGGTTTGTTTTGAGTCCAAAACTAAAGAAGAGAAGTGGTCCTTGATAGTGGATGTTCCAGACACATGACCGGAGATAAATCATTCCTTATTAAACTATCATCGAAAGATGAAGGATTTGTTATTTTTGGAGACAATAAGAAAGGAAAAATCATCGGTATTGGTAGCATCGGTATTTCTCCTAACCCTTCTATTGAAAATGTTTTACTTGTTAATAGACTTAAGCATAACCTATTTATTATTAGTCAATTATGTGATAAAGGTAATCGAGTTATTTTTGATAAATCACATTGCACAATTGAAAACACAAATGATCATAAAGCTTTATTCGTTAGTAATTGCCATGATAATGTTTGTGTTTTTCATCTTAATGATCTATATGCTAGTGATGTTAAATGTTTATATGTTAATAATGAAAATAGTTGGTTATGGCATAGAAGACTTGGTCATGCTCATATGGATTTAATTGCTAAACTTTTGAGAAAGGATTTGGTCATTGGACTTCAAAAAATTAAATTTGAAAAAGATCATCTTTGTAGTGCTTGTCAACAAGAAAAACAAACCAAAACATCATTTAAATCAAAATCTCATATTTCCACAACTAGACCTGTACAACTATTACATATGGATTTATGTGGTCCTTCAAGGACATCTAATCTAGGTGGTAAATGTTATTGCCTTGTTATTGTTGATGATTATTCAAGATTTACATGTGTTATATTTTTAGCACACAAAGATGAAACCTTTTCTTCTTTCACAAAACTCTATCGTAGAATTCAAAATGAAAAAGGCTTTCTTATTACTAATATTCAAACTGACCATAGTAGAGAACCTGAAAATGAGAAATTTGAATTGTTTTGTGATGAGCATGGTATTGGATATAATTTTTCAGCATCTAGAACCTCTCAACAAAATGGTGTAGTAGAAAGGAAGAATAGAACTTTAGAAGAGATGAGCAGAACAATGTTTTGCGAAAATAATCTTCCTAAATATTTTTGGGCCGAAGCCGTTCACACCGCATGCTATATTTTAAATCGTGCATTAATTAGACCTATTCTCAAAAAGACTCCTTATGAACTTTGGCATGATAGAAAGCCCAACATTAGTCACTTGCATGTTTTTTGTTGTAAATGTTTTGTGCATAATAATGGTAAGGATAACTTAGCCAAATTTGATTCAAAATCTGATGAAGCAATTTTTTTTTGGCTATTCCTTAACTAGCAAAACTTATCGTGTTTTTAATAAAAGAACTCTTGTTGTGGAAGAATCTATACATGTGGCATTTGATGAAACTAACATCTCTGCTCAAAAGCAAATTGTTAGTGATAATATAGATTTGGAACCAAATGTGGAAGATTCAAGTATCTACAAAGAAGAGAACCAACCATGTAAGTTGAACAAAGAGATTGAACAACCTATTCTCCCACCTCAAGAAGAAGGAGGAAACAATGATGATTTGCCAAGAGAATGGAAGTTTGTTCATAATCACCCTAAGGATTTAATCCTAGGTGACCCTACAAAAGGTATTGAAACTCGCACTTCACTTAGAAGCACTTGTAGTAACTTGGTTTTTCTCTCATAGATTGAGCCTAAAAACTTTCAATAAGCCGAATTCGCAATGACTGATAACTATGCATGGAAGAGCTTAACCAATTTGAGAGAAACCAAAATGTGGGGAATTTGTGCAAAACCTAAAGATCATACCATTATCGGTACCAAATGGATCTTTCGAAACAAGCTTGATAAATCCAACACAATTATAAGAAGCAAGGCTAGACTAGTTGCACAAGGGTACAATCAAGAAGAAGATATTGATTTCGATGAAAACCTTTGCTCCGGTTACTAGATTAGAAGCGATTTCGCATGTTACTTGCATTGGCATGTTTTAGGAGATTTCAAACTTTATCAAA